AAAGAGCTATAGAAGAAAATAAAGCAAATGTGTTTATACTTGCATTATTTGTACAAAATTGATCAAAGAAACAATTAATCCACAACACCACAAGGATGGAAAACTATTTTCTTGAAGTACTTTTGTACTGCTTTTGTGCATAGTTAAAAAGGAGCTGTGATCATATGGAAAACACAGTACCATTGACAAAGAGGCTGTTATTTCTGTGAGATGTTAGGTTATGCAATAAAAGCTCATCTGTACACCCACAAAGATGCTCAGAGAGACAATGGCAGGAGAGGGAGCCCAAATAATACCCTGCCGGGCTACTCCCAGGCCCACCACAGGAGCCATCAACCCATCAAAGGCCAATCTGCACAAGCCTAGAGGAGCACAGGGACATGCAATGGCAGCTGGGGACCCAAATCAAGGACTCTCAAGGAACATTCATCCGCTGTTGTTTTATGTTGGAGAAACTAAACTGAGTATTAGTAAAAGAATATAAGTGATTAACAGAAGTGCCTTGTTTACTGAAAAATTCCTTATTGACTACATTCTGCTCAGTTACTTCACAAAGGAAAAAAAAAAAAAAAGAAAAAAGCTGAAATTCCAACTTCCCTGTGCAATTACAAGTCAAGTTTTTTTTAGAAGCTTACACACATACATGTTACTGTTAAAGTATGTGGAAGCTGACACTAAGTACAAGGATGATTTTCAACAAGGCATGATACTAAATTTTACACAAAGGTATTCCAAGAAGATGTAGTAGACTTACAGAATCAACCAAGCCAAGAATTAGGGCAAAAGGGTAGACAGCAATCATTTCATAGCCTTGAACTCAAAGCTGCCTTTATCTAGTTAATGCAAAGTACAGCTACAGAAGTATAAAATTTACCAGGTGAAGCGTTAAGCCATGAACAAGACAAGACCAAAACAAGTTTACTATACTGTTCATTTACTTTATTATAAGTACTTAAAATGTGTGCTCCAGATTTCTATTCTGCAGATAGACTGTTAGCATGGCTGTATCACAGTTCATTGAACTGAAGGACTGAAACATGTTAAGTGATGGAACAGGTTCATTTGGAACTGTGCAAACCCTAAGGCCATCTGAAATGATCAAATGACTGCATTTTCACATTTCTCAGAGATGTGGATTGTAAACCTGCTACCTTCAGAATTACGAGTACTTGAAAATAAAACCTCACAATCTCTTCCGTAGGTGACCCACACAGAATCAAGGAACAACGAGAAGCAGTGACTTTTGGGAGAGAAGGAAAAACTAAGCACTTAAAACAGTTATTCCAATGGTTACACACCTGAAAATACAACAGTTCTTCTGCACCATCAGATCAACACAGATTTAACTTTAAAAAACAACAGGACTGAAAAAGGAAAATAGGACTGAGAAAAATAGGACTGATGAAGACTTCCAGTGGTAGTCTAATCTACCATTCTGCTTCAAGTCATGATTTACTACATCTGAATCATTCTCCTACCACGTTCTCCAAGACTGGTAATGATGGAGATTCCAAAAGATCTCAATTATTCTTGTTATGTGTTTATTCACAACAGATAAACAATAGTGTGTCTAAACAATAGTGAGTCTAAATTATTCTAACCTGCATAGAAATATAAAGAAAAAAATATATTATCATCATCTTTATGCACTTGAAGAATGTGGTCTCCTGTGTAAGCTGGTCAAAATCCTTAATTTACTCCCAAAATCCATGGGTGTTTTGCAAAAGGATGACAGGTAACCAATTCCATTATTTATATCATCATCACTGAGATTTGCATATCTCCAGCAATTTTACAACAATTAAGTAACATTTATTTGTGAAACGGGATGAGAAACATCTGCAGACCTTTTAAAAAAAATTCTATGTATGCCACTGATTAATAAAGCCCTTAATAATCCAGTATTTTTTATTTCTTCCAACAGCTTCACCTCTGAATGATCTTAAGTTACAACATTGCACCATATAAGGTAGCAAGGGTGGATGTTTCAGATGAGGGAAGCATGGAAAAATTATCCTGTATGGGAAAATTAAATGCATCCAGAAATTGGTGCCAAGGAGTGAAGCTTGGTGGCTTAGCTTACATCCTGGATTTTAACCATAAGCTATAAATACCCATATACACACAAAAAACATTCTGTCTGTTAACTACTATAAGTAAAAACATGGATTTAAAGGATATAGTTGTATGCACATTCACTAGCAGTACTCTGTACCATAATAAATACTTAACCAAAAGCATCACATATTTACCTGAAGTTTGGAAAACCTCATTCAGTAAAGCTTCATTTACCACCACCGAACTGACATTTCCAGCAGGATGACACCAGCTCTGATAAATAGTTTGAAGCAGAAGGGTTTGAGCTCTAGTTGCTTGAACTGTCAAATTAGGAAGCTCAAATATGCATTCTGTCAGTGGGACATGAGCTCGCTTGATCCTGTTTAAAATATTGAGAGGAGGAAAAAATAAGGAAAATCATTACTCTGGTGCATAAAAATAACAATTTAAAAACTTAGTCACAGAATACCAGACTATAAGCAGTTAGTTTGTAAGGTTGGAGCTGTGTGCCTGTTAAATTTCTTCTTCTAAGAGCCGATTCTCTTTAGACTGAAATTCACCCTAAATAGGACTTCTGTTACATGATTTAACTTTATATCTCCCTCTAAAACATGAGAGGAAAAAAATCATATATTTTCATCCAATTATCTCTTGGTTTTAAAATATTTAATACAAGCAATTTCAAGTGCTCCCACCATAATAAGAGCTACTCATAAAATTGTGCAGTTATTGAAAACACAGAACTGTTAAAAAATTGAATTTTCTGAAAAAATTTTATTTAGAAGCTTACAGTGAATCACTAAGTGAGATATGTCTCCAGTGATCAAAAAAACCATACAGACAATATCTATACAACAAAATACAAACAAAAAGACCCACATTCCATATTTCTCCTTGTATTCCATATTTGGCTGACATAGAGCTCATTAAGTGATTCTAGTATTTTTCAATGCCTTTTACCTTATAACTGGGGAGGAGAAACAGGTGGGGACAGGCATTGGGAGAGTAGTGCAAGGTACAGGACATTCTGTTCGCAAATAAATTCTTCTGTGACAATAGAGTCCACTATCAACAAGAAGGCTCTACCACAACTATAGCAAAATCAGTAGTTACTTTTTCTTCCTAATATATACACTCTTACCTGAAATTAAGCAACAGATTGATTTGCTACATTCAACAAAAACTGCAAAGGTTCTTTAATATTCTCAGTTTGGAGCCTTTTCCTGCAGCATATTTACAACATTATTATTCTTGCCCTAATCACCTCCTGCTCTCCTGCTCCACCACTGAAATGTACTTTTTGTGCTATTTAGCACTATTTTCTCTAGTGTCGCCAAAATATAATCACTGATGCACAGATTAGCTCATCTTCATTCTGGGGAATCTCCTCCATTTGAAGATTTTAGGGACAAGCCTAAAGCCACAAGAAAATTAACAATATCAGGCTAATGTTCCATTAGGAATCAGAACCTTAAATGAGGGAAAGCTGCTGAAGCTGCTCACACAATCCCTTAATCCAGGAAAAAAGCATCCTTTACCAAAATGTTCGAGGGACTGAAAGTGTAAAGACATTCCCTTGCAGACACCAAATGGCTCTTTAGATCAGCAAAACCAAAACCTTCCAAGGAACTGTCACAAGCAGTTACAATATACTGCGTCTCCTATCTGGCTCCACAAGAAAATGCTTGCAGCCATATGACCAAACATACATGAGATCACACTAGCAAGTAGAGACTCTGCAGGAGGCTCCATGAATTCAGAAACAGGCCATTCTGATGCTCAAACTCTGAAACCTGTAGTAGCATGAAGTGACACAAAATTCTGGCAATAAGAAGTAGACTTCCTTGCACTTCTGCACCTGATTGGGAGAGTGGCCCTTTACCAAGAAAACTGTGAAGAAAAAAGCACATCATCACTTCTCAGACCCATGATCATGATCATCTAGATGAAGAAGCAGAATAGCAAAATATTCTGCTGCAAACACCTTTGGCCCATTAGCTGCAGATAAGGCCTGTGTGACATGAAACATGGTTTGGAAACAAGCATTCTGAACATCACAAGACATGTATCAACTACCATGTTGACACGGTGGTACAGCCAAAGATCATGTCATCACTTTGAACTTGGACTTGCACATACAAGCATTCACCTTAAGTCACAAACAGATCTCCTCCCTCAATTTCTTGTCAATACCAGGAAACAGCTAACTGAAAACCATTTTCGCTGGAATAAGAGGGATTAATCTCATCAAGTGTTAGACACCTACAGTATAAACAAACATCCATATGTAAGATGGCTGTATAGGCCCTTTTAAGCTAAAAGGAACAAAGATACCTAACAGAGATCCACTCACTCTAGGTCTGAGCATTAAATGAACCGCTTTCTGCAAGTCACTATTTCTGCCCACTGCCTATAAAGGGAGATTAAGATAATTATCTCAGCTGTGGATGTCTACACCATAGATCAAAGTTTCATACATAAAACCCATCCACAAAAGCCAATTCCATTGCTCCTCACTAAAAAGGAAAACAAGGGAATAAAAGAAAAATTGATTCCTATGGAAGAAGATACTCATGAAAGATTCTCAGAAAATGGACATAAATACAGATGGAGGACAAAGAACAAACAAAAACAGATGTTGTAGCCTTCTGTAATAGCAATCAGTATTCTTTAGACCAAGGTTTTTCAACCTCAAAGCTTGGAATCAGGATTACCTGTCTCAGAAACGTTGAGAAGAAATGAGAGGAAACCAGCAACAAGACTGCCTCTGAGTTGCAACTCATTTGAAGCTAATGACACGACTGTGCTGCCAGCTTCAAATGCCATTTGCAGAAAAAACACAGATGAAGGAAAAACATCTCATGTTTATATGGGAGAACTCAGCCTTGTGTCTGGTAGCAGAAATTTCCTTCAGAACGAAAAAAAAAAAGCAGTCTACTGTTTGAATGAAACTATCAGTCTTTGAAGTTTGGAACGACCATATTTTGGATCGGTACAGCCCCTGTTGCTAGGAAAATCAAAACTCATTAGAGGCTTTTTCAGAAGAGATCTTATAATAGCCTTGTTTTGGTTGGTTTTTTTTTTATAGCAGTCACTGACACCAAAGAGTGAGTTAGAACAAGAAAAATTACATTTGCCCTGCTTGGGGGAACTAAGCATCTCCTACCTGCCTTTTCTGGTGACAGCCATGTAACTGTAACATTTTTCCTTTCTGTTCTTTTCCCTTTTGTTATCCTTTCAGATAACTTACATTTTCTACTTTTCCCTCTTATTTCTGAACATTACTTTGCAGGATTAAAACTAAATATTTCAGAAAAAAGTGTCTGAATATTTCAAAAGATGGGTTCCCTAATGTAAAACTGGTAAGAAAGAAAAGAGGTAGAAAACCTTTTTCAGCAAAATTCAGGAAGAACATGACTCTACAATAATTCCATCTAAAATAACACATTTGTATTAACAAATTAATGTACTTTAGGAGGGGTCTGTGGAGAGCTGTGACAATCGCAGTATGTGACAGTGGAAAAGATTTTGCTTTAGAAGTTTGACTAGTCATTTAATACATATTACAGCTACTGTACTGAATTATGCTAAATTTAAAACTTAAAAGTTTCACATAAAATACTCCCTTATGTGTAATAACAGCATATGATTTTTTTTAACTATATGCAAATTCTATGCTTGCTGTACTTTAACAATCCCATTGGAATAAAGTCTACTGGTCCTTTTCAGATAACTTTGGAAGAATGGGAAGTTGAAGAAAATAAAACCTTTTTTACAGGAAAAAAAAAATCAAGGCGGGGGGAAGTATTGTACCATGTGTGCAGCAAATGTTGCTTAAAGGAAATTTTAACTAGACCTGGCTAGTGATGAAAGTACATTTATAATTCAGGATTTATTATAATAGTTTTGAAACACAAATAATGCATTTAAAAGAACTTAAAATACAAGTTTGCTACCAGGCTGCACCTGTTAATACAGAAAATCCATCATTAATAAGGTACTGAGCTATATTTAACCAAGTTTTATGACCCAAGAGATATATTCAAGCAATAAGTGAAAATACAAGTACAAATAATTTTTTCAGTAAACCAAGTCAGATCTGTGTTTCTATATTGTATCATTAAATTTGTATTAAGCAACTGAATGTGACTTCATATCAAAACTCATCACCATATTAAAACAGTTATGGCACATGGTTGGAGTCTAAAACCACTATTTAAACTGCACTTTAAAACTGTAACAACAATAGAAATAATTATTTCTCAAATCTTTACACTCAAGAGTTAAGATGCAGTTCTGAACATATGTTCATTTAACTGAACAGGTTAAAAAACTACCAATTCAAACACTTCTCTAGAGGAAAATAAATCCTAATGTAACTAGCAGGATAGGCTACTCATTAAAGCCAAACTTGGACAAGTTCCAGAATAAATTTAAGGAAATATGAACAAGCAAGTCTTGCTGTGTAGTGGCATGGAGTGAAAATGAATCTGTCCTAATTAAATGATTTTTAAATACACTTTGGTTGTACCCAGTTTGCTGACAAACTGTAATACAGACTTGCTGAAATATTTGGATAAATCTGGCGTAACGTTAAAGAAAATAGTTGTCTTCGCTGTTTTTGAATGAAAACATGAATTGGTCCTTATTATACCCCGTGCATAGGCACCAATATAACGAATCCATGTAAGTTCACAGGCCTGCTATGAAATATTTTTGGTTTGTAGACTTTAGGAACAGCAACTTATTCTTTTAAAATCAACACCTCAGAGTGATTGAAAGAATATAGTGGTGAACATCTGGCTCCAGAGGTTTATATAGAGTCCCCAATTGCAAAGCTGGAACCTGCAAAATGTTTCCAAAAATCTAATTTTTGTTATTACTCATATCCTGTACAGTAAAATACGATTAGTTCATTTTTTCCAAAATAACAAAACCAGTAACCTGCTACTAGAACCCAGCAACTGTGCCTAAGAAGAACCTGAATGTAATTTAAATGCCTAAATAATTTCAGTCAGCAGTTGCACACCTTTCCTCTTAGGCAAACAGAAAATGTATGCTGCTTTTATATTTGACATGAACAAAGGCTTCATCTACATACCTACAACAAATCCATATTTCTACTTAATCTGATCTTTCATATCAACTTAAAGAAAATGACAATTTTGGTCATTTTTCTTAATGTTTAAGCAACTATTATTGGGTAAGGGAAACAATGTCTAGCTACTTAATGACAAATATCAAAACTCTGAAGGGAACGCGTAGGGAGAAGAAGAAAGCGAAAGGAAGTTAACCCCTACAGTCTTGGAATTATTATTTTTTTAAATGCAAGACTGAAGTCACTACTACTCACAATAAAAAAAGTCATATCACACATCT